ACAATCCAAGGTCATCGACATTTTGACCAAAACCCATCGGCGAGCTTCAGGGCGTAGAACGAGAAAAAATCGAATCACCCAAATTTCTTTGAAAACTTGCTCATAGAGGTTATCTAACCTGCTGATTACGAAAATCACATCTGCTTAGCAGTAGAGCTTCTCATTTTAGGGTCACTGTGGGCAAAATTTGAGACAACACGATTTTCCAGAATTCACCAGCTCTTCTATCTTTTCTCAAAAAGATTCTCCGGTTGCTTCTTAGCGCTCGATAATCTGCGGAAGCAGCACAATCCAACAGTGCTTAATAGAGTCTTTTATGTTTGATGTGCGCTGCGTTGCGACCTTGTGAATATACGCGCGCAGAAAATTTTGAAAAAATTGAAAACGGAACTTCAAGAACATGCTGTATACAATAAGATTCAACTTGACAAGATGAACACAAATCTGCTTTCTGATTTCGAAAAAGTTCATTCTGGAGAAAGTTACGGCTAGTTTACGGCTAAAGTTACGGCTTTTCGCGATAGTTTTCGATAACGAGAGCTTAGTACCAGAACCTCCTATACGCGATTTACACTGTGATAAACGTTCACAAAAGCCTTAACGTAGAAAACAACAAGGTATCGTTGTATGTCTACCCCATCACTATGAACTACGGACATACCGTATATCAAAAGATTCGTCTCATCAAGCTGAAGCCAAATCTTCACTCAGATTACAAATAAAGCTATTTTAAAAGAAGTTATAGCTAAATCCCGCTTATCCCGCAAATCCCGCGAATCCCGCAAATCTCGCGAAGTCGCGAATCCCGCGAATCCCGCGAATCCCGACAATCCCGCAGTTTTGGACAAATTCCACCGCTGCAACTGTAGTATATAGAAGTTCACAAGACTGTATATTTGTCTAGGAAAAATCAGGAGCGTTGAGCATTTGTTTTGGCCACGCAGACGTCATTTCATTAAAAACACTGCTTTTACTATTGCAATCACACCTTTGATTGGTTTGTAGCTCCACAGCCTCAAGATCAGTTCCACAAAAAACCCAAAAACTTGGCACAGAAACATTATTATGCAGGCAATGCAGCTACTTCATATCAAATGTTTGCGCATGAAAGAAGCTGAGTTTTGAGGCTCGAAATCGTGCTAACTCTGTGGTAAGGTTGGAACTTAGTTGAAAAACGGCACGAAAACGCAAAGATTTTCCAAGCGTCAAACGAAATACCTATCGCAAGAGGAGCTTATTTCATCTCATAGCTTTGGTAGAAACTAATTAGAGCGCGTAAATCACAGAAGAACGGATGTTTTTGGAGCCCAATCACTCCAAAAGCATTTAGAGCCTTCTAAAAAAAGTAACGGTCCTCCTTTTGAACTGCACTGGGTTCAGTGTGTAGCAGATGTGTCAGACTTTGTTACTGCAACTTTTCAAAAAATTTGGACTCAAACGATTGCAATCTTGAATGAAAGATGGACCTTTGTTTGAGGTGTTCGTATAATTATGAACCGCTAAAAATTCGCATTATGCGCAAAAACACTCCTACAATTGACATCGATTTCCATTCTTATGAATCATATACCGTTTTCGGCTGTGTTCTATCGCGTGGTACCAACGGCTTTTTGAGTTTCTCCCAAAAAGTCCGAAAATTTACAAAATTTTGGGTGTTCGTATAATTATGAACCGCACTTTATGTAATACTACGCTGTGTTTCAAGTCTCAAATTGTATCTCTGCAAAAAATAATTTTTCCTATGGATGGTTTCGCTATGGTTTGTTGGTTTTCTGGTTTAGTTCGTTGCTTTCTTCGTTTTTTTTTTTGAATGGTTTCGCTATTTGCCATCATCGAAGAGCTGCTAATGAGAAAACATTCTCGAGTACACCTTCTTTATAAATGGTGCCAACTACAGGAATGGCAACGCATAAACAGTGAGACATACTTCAGCAGTACTTAAACGAAGTGCCATTTTGCGTTCTAATAATACACCGCGGAGATAGTTTGGTTCTCTGGTATAATCATTTTTACTCGAGTTACTCGGAAGTAGGCTGCAAATCGTCACCTTGGAGGTACGCTTCGTTGATGACCTTCTTGCGCTTAGCTTGAAGAGTGCGCGACTGTGGACGCAACTCTGAAGCTATTTCTCAGCAACGTGAATCACCCTGTTGGTAATTAAAGAGCGGGTATTTTTGATTTTGACTTGGAGGCATTGGAGGTTTTTAGAAAGAGCACCCTATTCACAGCAGTTTAGTTCTTGCTAGATTTCTGAGAGAGCTTGGCGTGCTGCGCTTATCACCCTTAGAATGACACCATTCAAAAATCTGCAAATGTTGTTTCCAGCCTACCTTTGATAAAGACACGAGGAGCACAATTTGCAAGTGAAAGTACAATATCAGCAGACTTTTGAAAATGTCGGAAACAATAACCGTGAGTTCATTGAAAGGAGTGGTCAAAACTTCCATAACTTCTCCAACAAAATGCATGCCATTGCTTCGCCTTGTAGGGCCAATTTCAGATTCGTCCTTTAGCATTTCAAGTGAACAACTTATTTTATTCAGTGTTCGTTCTCCAATTCACAAAACGGACACCAAATACTCTGTTCGCCTTAGGCCCTGGGCATAGCTTACGCGATTTCGTCGCAACGCGATTTGCTAATTTGAACAAGTGCGCTGTTGAGTGTGTGAGTCCCCACGCAATTGTGATGGCTCGGCGCGATGAATCGCTACACAGTTTTTCGCTGTAAATAGCGAAGTTCGCGATTTTGACGAATTCGCGCAAAGCCGCGTCCTCCATTTGCGGCTAGCGACATGGCGACCGTTACGCAGTTGTGGACTTCATTTTTGAGTTTAATATAAATTTTACTGCAGTTGACGTTTATGATTTACCAGTGCGTCACCTCTGCTTCGCAGAGGCTCGCACTGGTTCTACTATCTAGGCCCTACCCATTCTCGCATGATGATGGCATTGAAACTCACCGAGCAATGCCGACTATCATATACAGAATGTAAACAATACTCATTCCGAAAGCTTTTTCATGTGAAATCGGTGATTTCGCGTGGATGAAATTTTTTTGCAGGAGAACAAAGCAAAATTTTGTACGTTTTTGATTTTCCCACAGTCTTGACAGTCGCCATAAGAACAGTAGTCACCATAAGCTACATTTAGGCGCAAAAATCTCATCAAATGCTCTGGTAAAAGCTTGGCAAAATGACCATTTACGCAACCAATACTTTTTGGCGCCGTTTTTGTAAGGTAATAAACTTTTGATCACTTTTTTGGGCCTAAGTTCACGGTTTGCACATTTACTTGCCATAAACATCCGCGAGCCTGCAAAAAGTGGAATTACGGACCCAATTTTGGGGACCAAAAGCCAGGTGGATCTGATTGGCGCGCATTTTTTGAGGGATCCACACAACGGATCCGCTCGTGCTTTTGTATACTGGACTCTCAATTTGGTAGCATGCGCTGTGCAGAATTTGAGCTCAGGACGTTGGCTGGAACACGCTCTACGAATTTCGTGACAGACAGAGATTCACACACACACACACACACACACACACACACACACACACACACACACACACACACACACACACACACACACACACACACACACACACACACACACACACACACACACACACACACACACACACACACACACACACACACACACACACACACACACACACACACACACACACACACACACACACACACACACACACACACACACACACACACACACACACACACACACACACACACACACACACACACACACACACACACACACACACACACACACACATACACACACACACACACACACACACACACACACACACACATACACACACACACACACACACACACACACACACACACACACACACACACACACACACACACACACACACACACACACACACACACACACACACACACACACACACACACACACACACACACACACACACACACACACACACACACACACACACACACACACACACACACACACACACACACACACACACACACACACACACACACACACACACACACACACACACACACACACACACACACACACACACACACACACACACACACACACACACACACACACAAACGTAAACAACCCTTAGCCCGTTATTATAAGTTACTAGCTGGCTTGCCCGGCTCCGCCGGGCCTGCCAGCTAGACCCGTGTACGTATGTTCCGAATAGAATTGGGACCGAACTTTGCACACATACACTTCGGGGCACGGAGCTTGTCACAGTCCACTTTTCGTTATCGATCGATGTCGATTTTACCGATTTTTTGCAAAATTTGAGCTAGGGGGCTAGGATTTTGCACAGGGGGGTAATCGAGCATGCTGATCACCCCCTTCGGGGTGATCAGCATGCTCGATTACCCCCCTCTGCCAAATCCCAGCCCTCTAGCTCGAATTTTGCAAAAAATCAATAATCGATATCGATCGATAACGAAAAGTAGCCTATGACACGCTCCCTGCCCCGAAGTATATGTGTGCCAAGTTTGGTCCGAATCGGTTCAGAAATAAAAATTTCTATTCCGCACATACGTACAGACATACAGACATACAGACATACATACATACAGACAGACATTCAGCTTTATATATAAGATGATGATTGTCTTTCTTTGAGATGAACTGTAGACACCTGTAAAGATTCATTTGTGACTCACAAGTGAGCGTGATGCATTGTAACTACACATCAACCTTAAAAAGATGCTTTGTTCAAAAACACTTTTTCAATACGTTCAGAATCTGTTTCTCGTACTTGAAGTAGCCCCTTTCTGCTGACAAGTTGTGGATTCACAAAAAAAGGAAATTACTCATAGTAGCTAATTCACGCCATTTTTATACCAGTGCGTCACCTGCGCTTTGCGGAGGCTCGCACTGGTTCTTCCATCCGCATACCTTTCCATATTCGTATAGGTTGACTTTGAAACTCACCACGTGATGCCGAACATCACAAATGAATTGTAAACAACTGGTCATTTTTTAAGCGTCTCGACGTAGGATCGGTAATTTCGAGAAGAAAAAGTTCTTCGCAAAGGAACAAATGTGAATGCAAATGGATTACTGGATTTGTTTTGGCTTGGTAAACGTCATGAGGATAATAGTCATTTTGAACTACGTTTCTGTGCAAAAATCTCTAAAAGTTTCTAGATAAAACCTTGTCAAATGGACTATCTGCTCACCACTTTTTGGCGCTGATTTCGCAGAAAAACAAACTCTTTGAGCATTTTTTGGGCTAGAACTTATGAAGCGCAGATTTTCTTGCCAGGCAAATCATGAGTTTGCAAAAAGTCGAATTAGCGATCTAGTTTCGCGTGCCATAGGCCGCGTGGACCCGTTTGACGCTCCGATTTTGAACAACCCGTTTATCGAACGGGCTCGTCCTTGTGCACGGTGGACCCACATGGTAGTGCAGTATATTGTGCAAAATTGTAGCTTCTATAAATTTTGTGACGACCAGACAGACAGACAGACAGACAGACACATAGACAGACAGGCAAACAAACAAACAAACAAACAAGCAAACAAACAAACAAACAAACACACACACACAAAAGACAGACGCTTAGTGCTTTATTATAAGTCACGATCATTGCGGCAGAGGTCGCATATGTTGTCTGTTGTAAGCTTAGCTCACAAATGCGCAGCAAACCCTATGGTGGACACCACCAAATATCTCATGTAATCTGTATGGAGTGATTAGTCCTACTTGAGTAAGCGGATGAAAATATGTAAGCAACTAGATGGCATTCCCTGTCCTGCCCTGCCCGGAAAGCGGGCTCTAATGCCGGTGTAAGTTACCAGGATCCAAAGCGTCAAGACTCACCATCCCTCTTCCATATCTTAAAAAAGCGCTTCTGCGATATATCTCGCTGAGTCGAAACACCGGATCCTTTTCGCCGCAAAATGTAAGTGAGCTTTACCGCCCCAGCTACCCAACTATGATCCAAAATTGATTGATAAGCCTACTAGCGACCCTGTGGATTGCTGTAAGTGGATCGAAGCAGATGTTTAAAAAGTTTTTGTACCTCAATGACGTCTTCCTACATGCCCTTAATTTATCTTAAAATTTTTCCGCTGAATCATTAAATTTTTCCAAGGCAGATCTCATGGAGTGGAATCTGAAGGAGTTCTTTAGATTGATGCTTTGCCCAGACCTTTGAGCCTTTTTCTTTTGCGAGACTAGAGTGACTCACTTTTCCACAAGCATAAGTGAGGTTCCCTCAAGAAAACGCTTACGAAACAGAATTTTGGGAGGATTTCGGAAAGTCTGTGAAATGAAAGCACTCCCAAAAACTTCCTCTCGCTGGAAAGTATGGTCTCCATCGATGTGACCCTCACTCACACGCTTCACTTTCAACAGGAAAAAACTTGCGAATATTCCAAGCCACTTCCCGGTAGTGATTTCTGCGAAAATTCGATCCGCCACCGAGACGACGAGACCCTGTTACCTTATGCTTTCCTCTGAACAAGAAATTTTTGTTCAGAGGAAAGCAAACAAGAAATCAAACGCTGTAACATGCCGCAAAATAGTGGGTAGCCTGCACAAACTGAGAGGCTCTCTGAGAATAAAAGCGCGACGCTACGGTGATGCCCAAACTGATCAATACTCGAACCGCTTGCTACCGACGATCCCATTCCCGCTATCTTTCTATAGAGAGCCAGAGCCGGTTTTGAAAGACATGAAGTTCCGCCTCTTGTCTTCTGGTATACTAGACGTCCTGACTAAGTCGAAACGGCAATACCAAAGCAACTTGTCACCTAAACAATGGCAAGGCTTCAAAAAGATCGTGATCTCATATCGAACGGCTCCGTGCGCCTATCTGTAAGTGATAAAGGCGGCGAATTCGTAATAATGCCACAAGAATTGGATCGTCGGATAACAGCCGCGCACCTAGCTGATACAGCGACGTATAGAGTAGTCAGTGAGAAAGAATACCATGCTCAGTATAGAAGACTCAACGACGCTTGGTGTACGATAGGAAAATCTGCAGGTCTCGATGACAGTTTTATCAGTAGGTTGAAGTTAACAAATCCAAGCTGTCCAGTCTTCTACAGCCTTTTGAAAACGCACAAGCTTTCCTTGCAGGATACGAGCTCGATGTCAACGGAAACTTATAAAATTAGACCTATAATCAGTTGCGTAGGCGGTCCTACCGATAGAATTTCGTGGTTTCTAAACAAAATTGTGAGCCAATTGCTGTCCAAAGTACCAGCACATCTACCCAACTCACAGAAATTTATCGAGATTCTGCAAAACGCAAAGCTTGACACAGGCAGGTTCTGTTATAGAGTCGTTCGACGTAACATCACTCTATACTAACGTACAAAACAGTCAAGCTTTACAAGCGTTATCAGAATTGTTGGACAGATATGC